AAAAGTTCGAAATTATGAATAGACTTACGCCTAGGCGCCTAAAAGCGGTATCACTCCTAATTGTGTTTGGATAGGTGAGTGTGTGTGTTTTATTGTCACATACATATACTGGAACTTTTCTACAATTGGCAATTCACCAACGAAATGCTCCAGTTTATTATAATTAACAATAGTTAGCGGGTTAAGTGGCAGCAACAATTACACTGAGTTGTTGTTATAGAACTGTAAGATGCTCATATTTGTATTAGTGAACCCAGTGAGAGGAAGGTTCCTCATATTAGTTGTAAAGAAAATATTTTATTCATTTTAGACTTTTAGACATAAAGACGCATCGTTATAAGAAAAACACACTCTTTCAATTTAATTAAGATAATTTAAATATTGACCGATATTTTCGGTATAAACTCAACCGGAAGCTAAAAAATGTTTCTATTAGGTATAAGGAGACTGAGGGAATTATTGCACCGATTCAGGCCTTTTTTGGGATATTATTATCACATAACAACCCAATGGCAAGAAGTTTGAAAATTTTGGAGATATACCTTGAATATTTTGGGAGATATATACATGAAACCCATTAGAGGCGGCTTCAAGTCCACTTTTTGAAAATGTTCAAACCGCAGGTGACCCTTCTTTTTGCGCTCTTCTGTCAAATTACAGTTCTATAGTCTAACTCTCTAGGAGTGGCACTAATCAGATTACTTGCTATATGGCAATTCCGATGTTAGAGTACTCGTCTTTTCTAATTTGTTGTTTTTTCGCATCCGAGTTTCAAACTAGTTGTACCCATGATTCCAAATCATTTGTGTAAATTGCCTCACGGAGAACGGATAAATCACTCTGATGATGAACGAAGACTACGTTGGTCTTCTGTTGATAGTTATAACTTCAAAGTACGTAGTAAAAACTTTGTCTCTCTAATGTATGATGTATGTTGCTGGAATGGGAGACCACTTCAGCTCGCAAAATGCACGATTCAGTATCAACTAATAAAGGGACGATCATAGCTTTGATGGAAAGATCAAATGAATTCAGACCCGGTGAACCTTAAAAACTATAACTGGGGCATTCGCCTATAATGACGACTGCCAAAGACTTATCGACGATGTCAGGAACGATACTCGGTTTTAGTACCAACTAGACCATATATAAATAGACCATATATGAAATATCACTATTAATGCTCTCTAATGGCGATAGTTTGTATTTTTATCTGGAAAACATATGATTTCTCTCAAATCTTCAGGTGAAATTACATATAAGAAGGCAGTCAACAGCTTAATGTGGAGTTAAAATTTAAAAATAATATGAAGGACAAGTATCCTAGATCTCCGCCTCTGTTAATTGAAGAGAGAATAAATGTACTCAAAATAAGAGTTTCGACCCGACCAGTTAAAATACTATGGAAAACAAATTTGAACGACTATGTTCCATTTTTGGTGGAAGAGTCACTTTAACAGAACATGTCAACAATATAAGACACAAATTTTAAGTTGCGAACATATTGTTGAACCTTCTTTGTGAACTTACTTAGTGAAAGCGTGCAAATAAAAACACTCATAGACACTATTAGTTATTATAGAAAATAAATAAACCTATAAAAACCCCTTGCGCCACCCAACTGTAAGAGCATTACAAAAAACACTCCTCGCAGCGTCGAAAATGTTTACTGTGTCTTCGCTATAAATGCCATTTAAATGACAAAACATATGTCTAACAATAAAAATCTGATTCGTAGCATTATAGTTAAGAATTACAAGCGAATTCAAGCGCATACCCACCCATTTTAGAATCCCCCTACACACACACACACAAACCAGCTAACACACCACATTACTGTAGCACAGAAGCTCGACTGGGTACTTTGACAAATGGCTTGTTGAAACCCAAAAAACTTTTAATTTATGAATTTAGGCTTTCCATTTCGGATAGACGCGTTCGAAATATAATCGGTGCTAACAACGCGCACACCAACACACACACACACGCACCCACAAAACGTCTCGACTATGATTTGCCGTTTGTCATCGCATAACACTTCAGCATTGCATAATCCTTTTGTGCTTGTGGCAATGAACTTTGCCGAGTAATTAGAGAATTTGAAATGTTTTGATTTTCGGCCACTTGAACTTCCTCACTTGCCTGCCACACATTTATTTACCGAACTTTCTTTGATTGTCACTGAAGAAGTAACCAGCATTATTAAGTTTTGAGTGATTTTAGTATTTTGTGTGGGTATTTTTTTAGGTATGTGTGAGTGTATTTATGTCGCCAATTCATTTATGCAGCTCGCCTATGGTGTAATTGTTCTCACTGTTATGATTTGATTGTTGATTTCTCAGCGTTGATAATTGCAAAATCACGTTTTCCTTCTTTTTTGCTTTTCTTCTTCAGGGCACGCAGCTCAATCTTTTAGTCAAGTCTTTTTGATTGCACATACATATACGTAAGCATATACACACATATATTGTTATGTCTGAATGTGTGATCTTTCCATATTCTCTACAAAACAACCAAGGGAATAATCTATGCTTGTTACAAATATTTATGTTGTCATTTAAGATGCTTTATAGTTGCTATTATGTACTCACTTACTACTTTGTCCCCCAAAAATCCCGTGGATTTTTACACTTGAAAAAGTACACATCACTTTGTTTTTATTTTTGGCTTAAATATATTAGTGATTGCGTAGTTCCATTGAACTCATGACTGCTCCCACTAGTAAAATAAATATATTGCTCATATGAGGCGCCTTCATTGCATATTTTATATTGACTTTATGTGAATACAAGCATCTACATATTTCATCAACATATTTTCATGTCGGTATTAAAGTTTGGAGCCTAGAATGTGGATATTCTTCTTTGGAGGATGAGACAGGTTTAGGAAAATATTTGACTTTGACGTTACAGTTATTGAGCCTAGTGAGCTTTGGCATCGCCATTGCATTATTTACACATATTTTAAGACTCCGCAGTCAAATGCTTAAAAAAAAAAATGAAATATTATTGAGGTATACCCATCGCCGCCAAAAATATAGGTCGTATACAGCTGCATTGATTACCGTTTTCTCGTGGATGAAAGCTAAATCATCCCTGTGCAATGATCAATGGTGGGTTGGACGGTTTCTATTGGTATTGACGGCGTTGCTCCGAAATTTGTGTAATAAGTAATTTCTACTTAATAGAGTAATTTCTACTTAGTCCTAACTTACAAAATGCGTGTATGATTTACACGCTATTACTTTACTCTCTAGTCCAATCCGAGTGGATCGCACACGGTGAACCAGCTCCAAAGCGTGAAAAATGCAACGATCGGCTGGTAAGGTTAATTTTTATTGGCCGCCTTGAAAAAAGAAGGACCATCAACAGCGACTGTTCTATAGCATTACTGAAGCGTTTGAACGACAAAATCGCCTAAAAACGTCGATGACAAAAATCCATGGATTTAATTTCGAATTGCTTTCGTATAATGAAGAGGCGATCGCCGAAACTGAGGCCTATTTTGAAACAAAGGACAAATCGTGCTGCAAAAATGGTATCGAAAAGGTGGAGGGTCCCTATATTCAGTATCATTGAAGAGAACTATGTTGATTAAGAGCACAATTTTTTTGCTTTTTTTATTGAAAAAGTATTTAACAGTGAAGTTTTTCAATAGTATAAAGGTCGCTTGAATCTCCTGAGTCTAATTTGCTTCAAGCGCATTGTCAGAAGATGACCTGTTAACCGATACCAGGCTGCCATGTGGAGATTATCTCGAATAACTCTTAACATTGTTATTGTAGAGACATGAATTTTCCTTAACAACATTTTTTGTGTTCTAAGGAGACTTCTGCGAATGAATGGTAGAATTCGATCCAACAATGGGAAGACGATCCCTTCTCTTCTATCAACTGTATGCATATCGGCAGATTTCATGATACATTGGTTAAAATATGAAGGATATGAGTACAAGTTTGAACATTAATCAACTAAAAACTCAGTTGTTTCTAGACCGCCGTAATTCTGCTCGGTAGGTTTCAGCTTTGCCTCTTCACCCTTTGTCTCTGAGAGTGAAATCCATGATAGCGCTACCCAGTTGAAATTAAAAAAGTTCATAGCTATAACTGCTTGATATTTAGTTCCTTTGACAATGATACTCATCACTTTTTTGTGGATCCCTATCCCCTCTCTTATTTCACTTTCTACCTGCATAAACTTTATGTGAATGGAGATTTTCCGGTGATCCTTATGTAGATCACCACGTTCACCATTAGTTTTCACTAGCCAATTTTGGTTTGATCTCTATCCGGGTATCTTTGATATGCATGTATTGCACTAAAAACCAAAAAAAAACAAAAAAAAAAAAAAACAAAAAAAAAAAACAGTTGCCGAATATCACTCTCGTCTTTTACTGAGTGCCTCAACTCTCGCTCTCTTAACTGTATGGCACCAAGCTCGCACAAACTCATTTACATACTTTCATATCCGAGCACTCCAAGTCACTGTTAAACTGCTACGCATGCAAAATAAATTCTTCGAGCGGTCGCCACTGCCTAATTGAAAAGCGCAGGAGCAATGCACAGCAACAACCACAACGAAGCTACGATTGCAAAGCGAAAAATGCGCGCGCCAACCTAAACACCCGCAATCTAGCAAAATACTTTGTTGAAATGAATGAATTCATCAAGCGCCGGTGTAGTGGTAGCAGCTGCTGTTGTTGTTGCGATTAGCCCTGCTGACAGTTGTATGAATTTGTGTACATAGCGCCTCACTGTCAATGCCATTGCCGCAGAGTTGGCAAGTCGCTGGCTCAACCGGTGTTGTGCTGCGGCTCAGCATAACGTCCAAACTCTGGCACACATACATACACAAACGCGTATACATACATGTGGGTGTTGCGGCTGCATGCGCTCGCAGCTATGTGTGTGCGCGCTGCTTGGTGGTGTTGGTGTGGTCTCTTCATTGAATTCTTAATAAATCAAAGTGAAGAATATAAATGGCGAGTAACGCACCCGAAACAGTCGCAGTTAGTAATATTCAGCCAACGGAGCCTCACAGTGGAAGCGAGTGCGAGCTTTGGTCTGAAGCACCATTTCTTTTAGAAAATTACAAACCACCAAGTCAACCAACAGACAGATAAACGAATTAATAGAACAACCTACAACAACAACAAACAGCGTCGACAATAATTCAACGGATTAGCGGAAATTGTGCAAAAAAACCAACAACAATTTACCAAAAAGGATTAATGTGCATTTTCGGAATTTGTTTGCGCGAATTTCAAACGAACTAGTTTTTGAAAAAAAAAAAAATAATAATAAATTCAGCAAACGAAAATTGAAAGTGTGAAAAAGTGACGTTTGATTTTCAGGAAAAACTTTTTTTAGAACTTCGTGATATTTTTTTTAGCGTGGGAAAGTTACGGGTGTCGTGAGCGTGAGGGAAATATGTGGAAGCACACTTTACTCTTAGTGTGCCTCAGTGGCTGCTGCCTGGCCGGACCCCTGCATGGAGTTAAGGTGTGTTGGAAGAATTTAAAAAAATATTACTTTTAAATTTGCAGGGTAATTTGAAAGGAAATTTAGTGAATGAACGAGCCGGATGTGGATAAGAGTGCTTCACTTATAAGTGTGTTCTTATCTTAATGGCAGTCGGAATTGTATTGGTGAGGAAGCTGAACACATAAAAACTAGTAAAGCACACATCACACAAATATGTATATGTATTAGTGTGCCTCACTGGCTTTCTTGATGCATTTATGCACTTCCGTCAATCGTCGTGTGCCATTTGTTCGATTACAAACGGAAGTAATACAATCGTATGCAACAAAACTCGCAGGCAATTGGTTGGTGTGCGAGGAAAAAGGTAGCACCCAGCAATTAGAACCAACAGCATGGTTTAGGCTCCAAGTTGTTTCATTCATTGAAATTCCAAACGTTTAGTTGTGCCTTTAAGAACGTCGCAGACAAACATTTAAACACAGAGTTTAATTCTACTTTATATATGCGTGCAAACATTCTCTGCTTTCACGGTGGCTCACTTTTTCGCTTCTTTCACCCTGACTCATTCGGTTGCCAGATTTAGTCAATACTCCTCGACAAGCCAAATATGTTAAGAACTTATGAAGCAAAGCAGAAATTTTTAAAACAAAAAACGAAAATAAATGCTGCAGCGATCAGCGTTTCCTATTCGGTCGTGTTGCAAAATGGTTATTCAGTCGCTGAAATGGTTGCGCTCCACTTTTGGGCTTCCTTTATGTAGTCTGCGAATGGTCGGTATAGAACTTACACTTTGGGTACTTGAATGTATACCCATTCTGCATAATGTCAAGAATTGTGGATTGCACAAAGAGGTGGAAATGAAAAAAGTTTTTTGGTTAGGGGGGTAACTTAAGGGGCACAACCGGAGTGAGAGTGCAAAAACGTATATTTTTGAAAATTTTTTAAAAGAATATTGATAGTATTGAAATTTTTGGGGCATATTCATATATGTTTGAAAAGACGCAGTGAAATTTTTAAAATTGCGAAGTTTAAAAAAAGTTGAATTTACCGGGTCCAAAAATAAACCGATGAAGCTTGTTGAACTGTGCAGCTTCCATTTGTAGTACGTTGTTTTGAAAGATTTTTATCCTTCTCAACGGCTCTCTAGCAACCTATTTCTTTCTTATCTTGACCGGTGGATTCAAACTTTGTAATAGTATTTGTAGAAGTGCTATTAAAACAATAAAAATATTAAATAAGAACTGCATACTCTCCACGCTTCAATATTTCGATCTATTCATAGTCAAATCCGGGGCAGTTCAGATTCTTCTCTATTGGATTTTTATTTCAGATGATATAGAAAATCTATACACAAAATACCAACTTGACGAACTTAGTCGATGTTCGGCTGTCTGTCTGCCCGTCCGTTCTTTTCTACCTAAGAGACTGCTCATTTGTCGACACCACCGACATCAGACTATTATAGCATGTAAGTAGCTACCATATAAACTGAACGATCAAAATCATGGTTTGGGATGGAAACCTTTTTTTTTTATTTGCTTTACGATATTTGGCACCGATTATTATTTAAGAACGGTGTTATATCAAAGTATTTGTTTGCCACAGTAATTGATCGCTCAAAATTAAGTCTTGGTATGAAAAATTATAGCTTTGGAATAATCGAAAACAATATTTGTTCTTGTATTCGTATGAGTTGATATTTTTCTACTCTTGGCCGATTGGCTCGAGTTCGATTTTCGAAATTTTTTACTAAAACCATACATCTAAAACTTTCCTGATAGAGCTTGAATTACAAATTGCGTATTATTTCGGCTCCGTCATAAAATCATGAATAAACTATATAATTTCATGCAATGTTCGATTGTACTGAAGTTTGATACTTACACTCTAACCAAATTAAATATTTGGGATCCCTTTAAGAGTGGTTCGATTTTGAAATACAAATTCATTGGTGTTGCTCAAAAATGTTGACGTTAAAGTTTGAAAATAAGAGAACTATAGCAATATTATGGTGCTGATATATATTCCTTCTCCACATATATTAATAATACTGGAAACACCTGCTTTAATAAAATCTTATAAATCATACAGATTATTAGAATTTCGTTCATAAGAACTCAATGTTCTCACATAGTATTCAATTTCGTAGCGTGTATTCCATTTATTGTCTACTTTATCCATGTTGATCATATTAGATAATGTCTATATAGATTTGCTCATATCACAGTTGTTCCGGACTACAACTATATTAGTTTGTCAAAAAAGTCTTGCGGTATTTTGCCAGAACGAAAACGTTGAAACCATCGTTGTGCGGTGGAAATGGAAACTGTATCGGGTCCATAAACTTTACAAATTTTATTGGCGGCTTGAGATGAATTTTTTGCCTTTATTGTAGTAGTACTGTAAAATATGCCGTATTTTCTCTTTATTTTGCTCCATGTTTGAGACGCTAAAACTCACGAACGACTTAAAAGAAACGACAATCAATCAAACCCGTGTTAGCGCGTAAAATGAGCTTTCCAAAAAGGTATAGCAGGACCCGATGCGACGAATAAAACTAGAACTACGCGCTCTCAGCGCAAACTAGGGAAAATACCGCTTTTGACAACCTAATATATCCTAAGAATTCGATCAGAAGACCAAACTATCACAAACCTTATATAAATTTTTATATCGATTTGAAGAATATAGCTTTCAGTTTCAAAGTTTTCAACATTTTATGTCTCGAAAAATATCAGGGTTTAAATATACAGATTTGCTGATTCCCATTTGACACCACAAAAACGAAAAAAAAGCCTAAAAAATTATGAAGCAATAGGGGTAAGCTAGATACTCCAATACAAAACAGATCGCAAAAAAAAAATTTCTTCATATAGAGATTGTTTTGACTAAGACCATTTTTTATTACTTCCAGTTAAGACGTTTTTCTAGTAACTAAAAATTAATCAACCATTCTTTAAGTCCTTCATAAATTCAACTGACTAACAAAGGCTCTCCATTGACGGCCATAGGTCATAAATCATTCATAAATCACTGCTTCCACTGACTCATTGACAGCCAAAGTAATCAACTATTGAAGAGTCTCATTAAAATGCAACAAATCATGGTGACTTTTACACAAATCGGAAAGTACGCAATAAAAAGAAATTAATACCAATAAAAAAACGCTATAAAAATAAACAACAAAGAAGCAAAAACCATTCAAAGCTGTTAAGAAAAAATAATGAAATATAAAAACTTTAAAAATAAATAAATAAGTCGGGGATGTCGCAAGAAAATGCAGCCGCTGAACGTTCAGCAGTCGAACGAAAGTTTATTTACAAACGCGCGCAGGTGCAACCGACAGCCGTTGAGGCGAAAAGTGTCAAAACAACGCAGCGCAGACGCAATACTTACCAAAAATATGCACCCTAATGGGCGACATTTCAACAACAACACACACAAGCACACATACTGATATATATTTGTGCGTTTGTGGTTTCACCTCGCACCTAGCGCAGCAAAACTAGAACAGCAGGTGAAATTTTGTTTTGCAATTGCTTTTTGCCGCCCATAACACCAAGCTATCAAGCGACGGTGCGGCCGCGCAACTGTTTGTTTCGATTACAGTTGCGCCATTTTGCAACCAAAATTGACGATTCGCTCGAACCGTCGATTGATTTCCAAATTCCGCCACATTTCACCCACCAACAACACAACGGGCAGCGGTAAACTTCGCAGCACGCACGCCGAGCGACTGGCGCCCGCGGTCACGTGCGCATATGTGACTGTGGCGCAGCGTTTTTGGTAGCTATGAGTCCGTGCCTACTTGAAATGCAGCGCAGGGATTACATAAATTTCGTGCATGCATAATAGCAAAGTAATGAGGAGAAACTGATGGATAGATCTGGTCTAGTGGGGGCGCTCTTTGCGCTGCCACTGTCGTAGGCGTGAACTCTTTCTTCGCAAGAGAAAAAATAATAGGTTTGCAATTTGTCTACTTTTAGCGAAATGTGCCCGTGCTGCGTGAAGATGATGCCGAACTGGAGCGTCCCGCACCAGAGCCACTAGCGCCTGAGTACCCCGAGATGCCGTCGACCTTGACCTTGCCCAGCAATGCGACATCGATACGCGCCGACATCACTGATAGCTTCTCGTGCGATGATAAAGTTTATGGTTATTATGCGGACGTGGAGAATGACTGCCAGATATTCCACGTCTGTTTGCCGGTAACGTATGCCGATGGCAAGGAGAGTACATTCCGTTGGAGTTTCATCTGTCCTGAAGAGACGGTATTCAGTCAGGTAAGTTCTTTCTGCGTAAATATTTCACTGCATTATTCAACAACATCAATTTTGCTTTTGAAGGAATCATTCACCTGTATGCGTCGAGAAGACATTGCCTTCTCATGTGAAGACTCTGTTAACTATTATGAATTGAACCGCAATTTTGGTGACACAGAAGAACAGAACGTTAACTCCAACAATGCGCAAGCCAATGAGGAGCAAGCGGAAGCCCAACCCGCGGAGCCAGCTGAGCCCGCCGAACAAGAAGTGGAACAAGCTGTTGCGCCACAAGCAGCTGCTCCAGCACCACAACCAGAAAAGCCAGTTAAGCCCGTGAAGGTGCAGAAACCCAATCGCAGAAAGCCACAACCGAAACCACAACAGAACCAAGCTATTTATCCCACAAATAAACTGCCATCCATTATGCCACTACGCAAGATGCCCAATGTCGGTCCCAACGCGCTTGTTTCTGTTCCCGCTGAGGTAGTGTCCGTACAAGCAGCTGAAAAGGATGAGGTAAAGGTAGTGCCACCTCGCTACAAGAAACGTCCCGCTGTCAATAGCGAGAAAAAAGGCATTGAAGAGCCTGCTCAACCTTTCAAGGTCGAGCTAGTGCATACTGTCAGCAACCCAGAATCATACAAACGCAGACGTCCCACATTTGCCCACAAAAACAGTGTTGTTACTAAAGTTTCTGAAGAGGTACCTGTTGCCGTCGAGACCGCCCCCGAGGCTGTAGAAGTTGCAGAACCTATTGTGCCAGCAGTTAAATTCGAATCCAACTTAGATGCTAGTCCGGTACAAGCACAGAAAGAAATTGAAGCGGTTGAAGAACCTGTAGCGCAAGTTGCTGTAGAATTTCCAGTTGCCGAAGCCGAAACCGCAATCGTCGCAGATGCCGAACCACAAGCTTCTGAAACCGGTGAAGTCGCCGTGGAGCCTGAACAGACTTTGAAAACTATCGCCGTACAGCCACATGTTCCTGATACCGAAGCTACACAAGCGGAGGAAGCTTTTGTGGCGCCAATTGAGTTAGCGCAGTCAGTTGTAGAAGCTGAACCTGAATATGCGGCACCAGTGGCAGAAGAAAAAATTAAAATTGAAGAACCTATGGCTGAGGAACTTTCCAAATCCGAAGAAGCCCCAGCGGAAGAGAAGATCAAAGTTGAGAAACCAATTGTGGCCCAGTTGGCAGTACCAGCAGAAGTAGAGCCTGAAAACGAAGCACTCAATAAAGAACCTGTTGCCGAAACTGTTGAAGATAAACCAACTATAACTGGAGATGCTCTTCAAAATGTGGCAACAGAAGAAAAAATTGAGGAAGTAGCCGCTGCGCAGCAAATCAATGTAGAAACACCAACACAGGCTGAAGAACAAGCTCAACCCGCACAATTATCCGAAAACAACGAGGATCAATTAGCTGGGGCATCTGAGCCAGTTGCTCTGGAAGCTGAGCCCGAAGTGATTGCCCCTGTTGAAAATGCAGAGGAATCTTTACCTGCTCTGCCCTCACTAGAAGAGTTAGAAGAACAGAAACCAGCCAATGCTGTTGAAGTTATGCCTGCTTCACCGGAAATGGAGCAACAAGATCCTATTGTACATCAAGCTTTTGAGGGTAATGATGCCCATTTGCAAACTGTTGGTGGTTTCAAACCAGTAGACCCCGAAATGGCCGCTGAAGCTGAAGCACTTATCTCAGACTTCATCAATACCCTGAAGAGCGCACATCCTAATGAGAAACCCATTTTACCAGAGTCAGTGGAAGAAGAAGTACCAGCAGCTTCTGCTGAAAGTGAAGATACTAAAATTGATATTATACCACAGACCGAAGAGAAAATTATAGAAGCCGAAGCGCAGCCAGAAGAAGTACCCGCTGCAGCTGAGACTGAAACGAACTTATTGAAAACTGTAGCTGCTGAAGAACCATTGGTTGAAACAGAAAATGTCCCTGTTGTAACAGATAACGAGCCGGTCGAAGAAGAGGAAGTTAAAGTTTCACCGCTCCTTAAATTCCCAATCTCCAACAGTTTCGCCTCCAACATGTATCAAATTCCTGTTACAGTCATTCAAACACCCTACGAAGAGGTACAAAATGCCGAAACCGAAGTGCTAGAACCACAAGAACATATTAATGCTGAGGGAGTGAAAGCTGAAGCACCAGAGTCTGTAGAAGAGGCAGCACCAGCTGTAGCAGAAACTCAAGAACAATTGAAATTCGTGCCAGAAAAGACCGAAGCAGAAATTATCCCAGCTGAAGAAACTGAGCCAGAAGTTCAACCCGCCATTGTCGAGTTTGTTGAAGCCACACCAGAAGCTGTACAACCAGCTCTGCCGGAAGCTATGGATACTGTGCCAGAGACTAAATCGGAAGCAGCACAACCCGCCGCTCCTGTAGCTCTCCGTCCGATCAGCATTGACGATATTGTTGAGTTGGTTAAAGAACGCTTAGATCAAGCACCTGCCGATGAGAAAGGCGCACCTATGGAGCTTATTGTCGACTCCAGCAATGCCGACAAGCCTGTTGAATTGAAATTTAGTTTGGAAAAAGGGTCAGCGCCGCAAGAAGTATCAGCTGAACAAACACCTGCCGAGGATATCATTTTTCCCATTTATCATCGAGTGTCCGAGCCTGAGGTCAGCGCTGTCCAAGCACCCGAAGCTATCACTGCAGAAGAGCCCAGCGCTTTCGTGACGGAGCTCAAAAAGTTACCAGTTGAAGCTGAAGCCGTACAAGAGGTAGTAGAACCATTAGCACAAACTGCGGACCAGGCTGTGCAAACGAATGCCGATGAACTTGAAGCTAATGTAGCCATCAAGTCCGCAATCAACACTGAGACTGAGCAGGAAGCTGAAGCTGTGCCAGCGCCAGTAGCCTATGCGCAAGAAACTGAGAGCGAAGCTGCTGTCGTGTCAGCTGATGAGCCCGTTCAAACCGAGACCGTCGAAGCTGAAAGTGCGAAGGCAAATCGTGCCTTAAGATCGCGCAGTTTGACCAAAGCTAAGTTAGATCCACGTAAACGTCGCTTTCTCTTTAGATCGGATGCCAGTTAGATGCTGCAAACACCTTTTTTTATGCCCATTGTGAGCACACCCTGTATGCCGCCCATAAAATTCCTACAGCTTAGGTTTCTAAATTTTCACTAAAAAATACACTCTGCTTGACTCCACTACTGCCACAAAGGCAATTATCGTTTGGGACTGAACGCCTTATCCTCGACTTTTTTTTGTGTGCTGGGTGTCACAGACGGTGGACTTCAGCGGAATCGCAGAGAAAAAAAAAAGTTCTACTCAAATCTTCTTTTCTTATTTAAGTTAAACTAATTTATGAATTTAGGTCTACACACTACTTTTTTTATATGAAAAACTATAAAAAATGAAAAATGCAAAATTTAGAAAAGTGCGTGAAATTCACACAGTTTCGTTTGCCGAAGCCATATAAAAGAAGAAAATAATTTATTTTGTTGTTGGAGGCATTTTTGTTCAATGCAAAGAAATAGAAGCGTTCTTAAGAACGCTAAGGAGCTGCATATATACACATACCTACCACATACTCACAGATAGATTTATTAAGAATATGTTTTAGAAGTTCCAATTTGCTTAAGTTGAACAAAAGTGACAATCGAATAAAACTAAAAATAATAAAAATTATATTTGAATCTTTAATTCATTTATGGTAAATATACGGTATGTCCCATGAAAAAATTAAATATTTTGTAAATGTCCGGCACATAGCATGTAAGTAAACAGCGCACTCCTACAACAAACCAACAACAATTTCTAATTTCGATTTATTGGATTAAGTTTAGGCAATGAAAATTAAAATAAAATTTAGAAAAAAAAAAAACTATATTCTAAAAAAATTTCGGAACCTCAAGCATCGTCATCCTGTTTGTTGGCAACAGTCGTGCAAAGGAATGGGTGCTTTTACTTTACTTATTGGCATTCATCCTTTGGGCGATTGCTGTTGATGATTATTAGCTGCCAAAACCCGCTGCGCCTTTTTTATTCGAATCGAAATATGTTATTTAAAAAGCGAATATTGTGAAAGATTCTTAACTTTTCGATTTTACAAATTATTTTTACGAATATTGACAAAAAGCGAAATATTAAAGAAAAGCGTAAAGAACGAATTATTTCTATTTTCAATTTATTATACTCGAAACATTTAAACATATTAAATTGGCTTTTGAAATTAAACTATCTTTAATTTAGATAGCGATTTGTTATTTCAACGATTGAAAGAACTTCTTTTTCTCTAAGCGGACGGCTTGATTTGCCTTTGTAGAATCCGAACGAAATTTTCGAAAATTATTTTAATGAAAAAAAAGAATTCTAAATTAGAATCGCAAATTTTTTCTCGATCGTTTCGAAAGATATTAATACTAAATTATTTAATTTTTACTTATTTTTTGTCAAAGTATATTAACAAATTTAATGCTTCTTCCGAATTACACAACACAATTTGTGGTGAAGCACACTCACTCTCTTTCAAATAACTTTGCTAAATGATCTTCCAAACTGAATTTGCTTGATTCAATTCAAGAATACACATAAAAGTACCGTAATAACTAAGTATGAGCCGATCAAAACAAAGACAACGCTTACAATTAATCGCTAAACAGCCCAAATTGAAGCAACGTTGGGGACGAAAGGGTTAAATACTTCAGACTTTAGACTTATTGTAAGTTGAACTTACCATAAATAAAATCTCTGGTTTAAAACAGAAACACATTTCTTTTAGTTCTTATATTTTTAATGACTTTAAGCATTTCATATAATCAAATTTTAAAAAGAATACAAAGTTAATACAAAATAGAAGAGCTGAGACCCGTGCATATAGATGTGTTTGGTTTATATTAAATTAAAATTTCGAAAGCTTTATAAGCATGACCAACATTTTTATGGAAATTATAATTTTCAACAAACTATAGTGTCCACTTTGACTTGTATTTCAGTCACCATTTATTGGCAATAATTCTACGCATTTGTAAGACATGTCCGAAGTTATTAAATGAGAATTAATAGACAGTCATTAACAAAGAAAATTAAATGTTATCCACAAACCAAACCAATAAAAAATGTTCACCTGCAATGCTACCTTTTCTATTCCTGAGAGATTTTATCTCCACAAGTCTGTTAGTGGACTTTGACACGAAAGTTTTTCCGACGGTTTTAACCATGAAAAAAAATTGGATAACGAACTCGTTTTCAAGGGAATCGATAGACGAAATGGAATGGATACGAAATCGTTCAAGATGTCGCTGAATTTGTTTGGAGTCGCTACTTTATAACGAGCGCAAGTATTTGAAGGTCAAACGGCTTCAGTGAAGTCCTTGAAAACTTACCTGATGGGAGTTGTACATCCATCTCTGTTGTTAATGACGATAAATTGTCGTGAGAGAGATAGCTGACGAGCTCAACAACGCTTATGAAACAACTCAACATATTTTGGTTAATAGTTTGGGTATGAAACGTGACAACGCCAAACCGGTATCAGAATAGCTGAATATTGTGCAAAATCGACGTCAGTGGAGGACCCTACAAGTACAGCACTGCTGGTGTGTTTATAAAGTTTTTTTATTAAATTATGCGAAAATGTATAGAGTATCCTGAATCAAATTGGAAAAAGGTGTTCGTTTGAAAAAAGCAAATGTCACTGCTGGTTAATTAACCGATGTTTTAACCGATAGTTAGCCTGTGGAGTGTTTTGTCAAAAACGGTCATTGAACAATTTTGAATACCACGTGTATCTTCGTAAAGTCTAGATATTTATTATATACAATGCAGCACATTTATACATATATACATAAAATTAAGTACATAAATGGTTTTATATACATTTGTAAAGTCGTTTTAGGAGCTAGCACTAAATTATCAAACTATATTTCAAAAAGCATTCGCTAATATAATGAAGTACTTTTGTAATTACAATACAAAATTTTAACCGAAAATTAATTTAATTCTTAATTCCTAATTACGATATTTGAAATTCAGTAAGGAATTACTGTTGGTCTTATTGAAACTTTTAACATGTTGTTTTAGTTTTTGTTGTAATAATTGAAACTAAATGAGCAATGCTATGATATCTTGTTATAATTTGCTTTCCTCGTCGGAAAATTTGGCGATTCAATATGAGTAGATACTCATTACTCACTGTTTTATCATAATTAATAATTTAACACTTATTCTTCAAAATTCTAGCTTTTGTTTAAAATTAATTTAATTTTTATAATTATACTTATATTTTTATATACACTAAATTGTCTTATACTTTGGGTAACTAGCTGTATCAGAGGAAAGTACAAGTAAAATCTGTGCAAATGTAGTTATGTACAGACATAGTTTCTTTATAAAAAAAATAAAAGTTTTTTAAATTAATTTAAGTGTAATGATTTTATTTAAAATAAATCTATTACTTTTTATTTAACTTAAAAATTTTTGTTTCTTAATAAACTATTTAGTCTGCTCGTTTCTATAGTTCTGCCTTTACAATATAAATGGTTTAATATATTTAAAAAATCTTAAAATCACATTAAAAATACTTTGGTTTTTATAAAGCAGTTTGTGTCTATATTATTACTCTATACCTGGGGTCGCCGAATATTTTTCCAGTTTTTAAAAATATCAATTAAGATTGTGTGAACTGTTTCAAGTATTATGGGATATATGGTATATACTTTTCAAACTAAAGTAATATTTCACAAAAGGGTTGTTGTTAACCAAATGCCATGAAGAAGGAAGGAAGGAAGTTCTTTCCTCCTGGAATATAATTTGAATAATTACTAAATTTGTATTTTGTTAGTTAAATTATATTTAGTTTAAAAAAAAATAAAAATAAAAACGTAAAGAAACAGGCGTTCGCTGCGAATTACGAAGGGTATGATCAATAAAGGTTCAAAGATGTAATAAACTTTTCTGACGAAGTTTGCAGATCCTATCTTTTGTTGCAGCCAATAGATACTTGGTTGTGTGAGAGCGGACATAGGTCGCATTGTATATCTTTATTAACAATATATTATAATTGTTTCCATTTTAAGTGGTGGCATGGTGTAGATTGTAAGATTATGTAAAGAGTGATCTATCGCAGCTTTCATGTTGAAGAGTCTCTTTAGTATTTATAAATTAGTATTTTGAAAGAGTTCTCCCTCGAAAAATAATATTGGATGGAGATGTTAACTGAAGTTATCCTTTGGAGAAGAGATTTAGTTCTTGAATGGATTCACTTCGAAAACTCTCACATCTCTTGCAAAAACGACTGTCACAGAGCGTGTGGAAGAGTAACTACAATTTAAATACAATGATTTACTTAAAACATTATTATACAACGAGTAAATTAATAAATTACTACAAAGAAATAAGTATTTTTTCTCAAATGGAACACTTGATGGGGGCGTGGGCATTCCTTTCATAACTGTAAGAGAAAGTTTAGTAATATTACTTTAGCTTATATAGCATGTACTTATATATTCATACGGATATATTATAAACAAGCCACATTACCGACAAAACGAACCATCTAAGCCTCCGTCTCCTCATTGGCACCCTCTTGCAGTTCTTCGGGTGTACGCAAGTCGATGGCGAACTTCTGTCGGTGTGGCGTAATATTATCGGTAGGCGATTGTTCGCCCGATTCCTTAACGCGTCGTGAGTACTCTTGAAAAGCGGCCGCTAAGGCATATGTCAGTTTGCGGGCCATATCACGACTATCGCACACGAAGGCATGTACCTCGAACGGATTTGGATGTTGTTCGTCTTTCACCACAATCATGGCGAACACTCGAGTGTAGACCAAATCTTGCACTCCATACGAAATCGTATCTATCGGATAACTCCAATTGTTCACACTTGCTTTTGGTGTTATGGTTTCGATGATAACGCCCTCGGTTGATACTGTGAGATCACATTGCGGTAAAACTTTCTTAGCGGGTAGATTCTTGGCTACACCCACCAGGATATCGACGGGTCGGCGGGTGAATTTAATACCCCATAACCCACGTGCTACCTCGGACCCAATGTATTTGACCTGAAAGATAAAAGTTGTGACAGGAATACTATTTTGTAAAAATTTTAAGTGATGGCTAAAACAGATGCGACGAAAATGGGCGTGGTAGCGCACTAAAAAAGTTATACCTTCGATGGATCAAACTTCTGTTTTTTCTGTTGGGCTCAGAGACCTTCAGAAATTCAGTTCTTAACTATGACCCAAGTAGTTAAAATTAAATTCGAAAATTACTGCTTTAATAGACCCGAAATTTCGGGATTTACCAAATGGTCTTTAATTGCATTCGAAAGTCCAGGAACTGTAAATATATACAAAGCCGTGTTTGTTTATGTTTACAGCACTGTACAGCTATAAGTGTTCATATATTTGCATACAGACCGTAACTGGTCAGAACGTTGCGCATGCGCAGCTACCGGATGTAACGGAGCGCACTTCCACGAATGACTGCCAGACTAACACGAATATTTATTTTTTCATTATATTTCGAAAAAAGAACTTAAATAATAAAATACCACGGACAGAATGTGAAAAGGTAGTATATGGGTACATACACACATACATATGTAAACTAAGGTTTACATACGGGCCTTTCGAATTTCAGTAGCCCACAACGGTCTACAATAGTATTACAAGCTTGTGTGAATAACAAAGTGTAATAATTTGTAATCAATTGTATGCACAAGGTTTTGGATAGCGAGTACACGGGCGAACATGGACCCGCAATCGCTATCGACGAAATTTCAATGTGCAGCGATGTGTGTCGCTGGACTCCCTTGCTTGATGGGTAAAAAGTGTGCAAGACGAGTCATTGAGTGGTTCGTCGCATTGTTATATACATTTGTACTTAATGTATGTATTTTTACATATTTAAATGAATATACTGGTACATTTAAAGTAATGTTTATAATTTCACAAGCTCCTCGCTTATATACGTGGTATATATGAGTGAGTAAAATTTGTATTTATATATTGCAAATATGGAATATGAGAAATTGTTATCACATAAGCTAGAATGGTCAACTTCATATATAATTATTTGTTGATATTAAAAGACCCAAGTGCATAAAAAAGTAATAAAAGTACAGCTAAATTAGTGGCCATCAACGCACTTCCGGTCTGAATTTTTAGCTCGATTTATCTACACGCTTTGGCAATTCAGTTAATTTAGATGATTACTTTGTGCTATTTTGTGATTTATGTTTGGACTTTAATATATAAATAACACTTATGGAATTTTATTTTATAATTTGAGTACGAAATTATTACTATGCCGAAAATAGTAATTATTGAAAGCTCTAAGTAAACCTGAGAAGAGATCGATGCCCTAGAAGGGATTTGATAGCTTTCTCAAAAATATGTTCTAAGCATACATTACTCAACTGGGCAGCCATTAAAATCTTAAATTATTCAATTTACTGGCTTCTTTTACAACAAGTATAAGATTATTTTACGGGTTCACAAAAATTAAACAGAGGAAAATCTGTTGGAGAGACCGAAGTATTGAAATTAGCTGCTTAGAGATAATAGATAGCATTAGGGGAAAACAACATTAAATTTTAATAAGCAAACTGTTTGGAATTTCAACCATCTTACGGGGATCACAATACTTCTAGCAAAATTCCATTTTCGGTCATCAAAATCGAAAGCTGGAGAATATTTTCTGATCAAAATCGCTAAATTCAGAATGATTTGATGGGAGTATTCCATATTTTTAGACGCAAAAGGCTTCTAAATAAGACCTTCGTTAGTTACTTACTGAGAAGTATGTATGGTATAAACATACAAACTTTTCTTAATTAATTACTAGAATTACCTTGAAAGTTAATGGCAGATCCTCCACGTTGACTTGCGCTTCCAAATCGGTTGCAGGTGCAGATGTCATGTTGGATTAGTTTTGTGTTTTAGTATACGAATTTAAATCAAATAATTTAATTTAGAATTATGTCTGCTTCTTTACTTGTAAATTGACGTGATATGTCAAGGTTTAAACTGCAAAGAAAAGTTAAATAAATTGAATAATTTATTGGAATTATGAAGCATAAGTACTATTCAAGGCGAGTCAAAGAGTTTTAAAGTTACGGAGACTGCTATATATATATTTCTGGCCTAGGCAACACTAAGTGTTGCCAGGTGCAATCTGACATTTTCGTTGGAAAGTTTGACATTTTTTAGCATAACATTACTCAGAACGTTTTGTCATTTAATCGTGAATTGTTTTATTTACAGGGATTAAAAAATTCATCTCGGCCAAGAAATGGAATTAACTCGTGGACATTTTCGTGCGATCATTTTTCACAACTTTCGACGTGGATTATCTCGGCAAGAGTGCATCGATGAACTAAAATCTTTGTATGGCTATGAAGCACCATCCTATAGCACTGTGAAAAACTGGTACAAAGAATTCAATCGTGGCCGACACTCGCTCAAAGACGAATGCCGTGAAGGGCGTCCAAAAATAGCCGTTGTGCCAGAAAACATCGATGCGGTAAGTGAACTGATAATGCAAGACCGTCATGTAACATGCTTTCAGATAGAGGCATGCCTATGCATTTCTCCCATTAGCATACATTCGATATTGCATGAACCTGGCCGTAAAAAAGGTTTGTTCTCGTTGGATCCCGCACAATTTGACAATCGCTCAAAAAATGCTCGTGTGGATTGGTGTAAAGAAATGCTGACGACCGTGTGGGTCTTCCAAAACGAGCCAAATCCAACGAAATTTATTCGTGGAAGGAGCACTTCGAAGCAAATGATCGCCTGTTTCTTCGGCAAAACTGGTCATGTGGCGACTGTTCCGCTTGAGCAACGTAGCACGGTCAATTCTGAGTGGTACACCACCATTTGTTTGCCTGAAGCGTTCGGAGAAATTCGAATTCGTGGAATTGATGGGTCATCCGCCGTACAGCCCTGACTTGGCACCCAATGACTTCTTTTTATTCGCCAGAAGATGCTGTTGAAGCATTCAGAAACCATGTTTTGGAGGTGTCTCAATCGGAGTGGAAAAAGTGCTTCGAAAATTGGTTTGAGCGCATGCAAAATTGTATAAATCTTGATGGAGAATATTCTGAAAAACAATAAAACCATTTTCGTTGATAATATTCCTATTTTCATTATTAATCCAGAAATATATATAGCAGCCCTAGTAATTATAATATATTTGTTGAATATTGTTACCAATCACTAAATGATGAAAAATATATTTATAAATGTTTTTATAATACAAATAAAAGTTAATATCTGTCTAAAGCCTAGACAAATTTCAAAAAACAAAAACGTGGCTGTAAGAATTTAGTTTACTATGCACATTGTGTATATGCATACATGCATATTATATTAGATTATATACAAATGTATATATGTAATACACCCGCCGGGGGAAGCAGAGGAAGAGGAAGACCTCCACTCCGTTGGAAGGACCAAGTGGAGAAGGACCTGTCTTCACTTGGAATATCCAATTGGCGCTATTCGGCTATAGTCGCGTAAGCGGTGACTACGCCAATCAAGAAGAAGATATATGTAATACATACGTACTATATATACCTATGTATTTGTCTACGCTTCTCGGTTTGCTGCCGCAACGAGGCATGAAGATGAAGTTAACATAAGTAATGACTATTAATCCTTATCTTAACAGATAAAATTATTCAGAAATAACTTTAGCATTACGGCACACTTTACAACGTGTTGTTATACAAAAATTCTAAATATAGCGGTAAACACTACTTTAAGATAAGATCAAATAAATACTTAAATTTATTTTCTATCTGATTTTGTTAGGTTATTGCTATTTAGAACTGTTAGAAAATCAGCTATTCAAAAATATTATATTCATTGAGCACTAAGAATCTTTGTGTGGGAGGAGTATTTTCGCCTATGTGGCCTATTTATGATATGTATATAAAATAAAGGGTAACTAACAAAACATATTTTCTTCTAAAACAATTTTCATAAAAGTAATGTGTCGAGTACATAGTATAGCTGAAGACTAGCTTTAAAGCAGAAAAATTACTTGATGACGCCCAAAAGTATACACAATCGTTTTTTGCCAAGAAATTTTTTGGAAATCAACATATTTCATGGAACTTATGAGCAGAATAGAAATAAAAATGGTTATTATTTTAGTTATCGCAACTGTTATGTAGAGCCAAACATTTCGAAAAATAATTGTTAAACAAAAAATGCTATCTGTGAAATGAATGTATTTAAAATTCTACCCTTAAAAATTATTTCTATTTGACACAACTGACATTAAGGTGGTAACATTAAGTAAGTGGAAGAAGGGTTTATAGCGTCCTGTTAAATAAAAAAAGATAATTAAAAAACCTAGATGTTGTGAAGTATATGATTATGGCAAAAGTTCTGCAATCCAAGTATAATTGTATGTTAAAATATTGTTTACAAATTTATTTTAAAACGGTAGAAATATTTTTTTACAACATTACAAGTTGATGGTTTGCTTGGTGCATAAGAGTATTGTAAATTTGAAAAAAAATAAGTTGTATGAGGTTTAAAATATGTTTCAATATTCAAAAAAATTATCATGAAAATCCAGTACTACAATTCACTTTATAGTTTTTCGGGGTTATAAAAAATTAATCGTCAGTTTTTGAGATATCTTGATAAAATTTAATACATACGTGTATTTTGATATTCCATTGATTATTTCGAACGGTTAGATCGAACAATTATATCTCCCATACAAGCGATTATTAAGATTTTTAAATCTTCGCCTTAAAAATCGCCAATTCGAAATCGGTTTTAGAAGAATAGTTCATATAACAAAGTTGTTCAGAATTATATGTAGAACATTTACCGCATAAGAGATTTTAAAGAAAAAAATCGATCCGTTCTAATATATATATAAATCATCTGCATGATGAACTGAATCGATTTAGCTAAGTCCAACTTAAACATAAAGTTATTTTTTACTTACTCGACAGTTTTTCCGAGTCGCATGTATGTGTTCAGGTAATAATGTATCACCCTAATACACTTTTATACATGTTATTAAAATCGTTGCATTTGAGCAATGAGTAACTGAAATAAATGTTACCCACTTGCTTTGAAAGCTGAGCACTTAAGTAAATAGTAAGTAAAGCCGATTTAGATATGTACATATGGCATGTGTGTAGATATGTGGACATTTGAAGGTGCTGGTACACATATTTTGAAATACATGTGCTGTGTGTAAGATAACAATCTAGATAGCGATAGCTGATCTATTGCTCTCAAATTAGTTTAGAAAAAATTTCCTTTCAGCTCGAGGCTTTGTCATCTTAATATCTAGTTCATCAATAATAATATCTCGAAATGCATTTTACTTACATATATTTGAAAAATATTGTTTGCTTTCCATTTCTCTTTACATCACTCACATTTAAATATGAAATTACTTAAAATATGTTTACCTTAAATTAAGCTTCAAAAGTCATTACTTGCTACCATTTACCACCACTTATTATAAACATTATATTTTTTTTACCAAATATGAACTTTGAGATCGTCACGCACACGGCAGTCAAATCATCGACTAATTAGTCCGTAGTATTCACAATTGTTTTACTATTTTTAACAAAAATATGTTTCACACAATTGTATCAGCAAGTATTTATTTTATCTATTTTTAAACAACAATTCTATTGTTTCCATAGTTTTTTTTTTAATTTACGATCTTCAATTGCCTGAGAAATGCATAGTCCCATTGAGCATTGAAATAAACACAGACGAGACAGAGACACGGCTTAACAACCGCAGCGCACAACACGCTCGTTTGAATTGGTGTTCCGTCTTTGCTTCCGACTTTTTCGTTGCTTTTTGGCTAACACTCGGTCAGGTCACAGCGAAGCGCTGTAGCCAACTGCCGGCGCCTACGGCTGCTCGCCCAGGTGAGCAAAAGCACAAGCGGCAAACGATCAGCGACTACCGCGAGCGCCGCGCACTCTTCGTTTCGTCGGCAGCGACGCTGACTGCGCATATTTCCGATGGCTATTTACTACAAGTACTGTTAGTGGCATACTTGTTGCTTTGGTGGCGGTCGCTTTGCTGCAGTCACTGGTTTTCTGCCCACAGCGCTTACGCGCATTGTTGCTTGTACTCGGAACAGCGGCACATCGGAAATAAGCAACTGTGGCGGCACCAACCATAAAAGAAATAATAAAACATTGTATTGTGGTGTTGTTGTTGTTTTGTACAGTGGCATCAGCGATCATGCAAATTGCACGAATGTGGCAGATAAGCAGTTAAAATATGCGTGAAGCGGCTGGCATTTATTTTTATGTGAATATGAATGTTGCTATGTAATGTTGCTTGTTAAACAATGGAAATACAACTAAAATAACAAACTACATATATATGTATATATTTCTACTATAAAAACAATGTCAAATATAGAATATACATATTTATATGTATGCACTGTCACACTATTTGTCTGTCTGCGTAACAGTCTCAAGTTACAAGCATTTGATGAGCTTGACTTGAGACTTGGTGTTAATGACCACTGGGAGGCGGCAATAAAACGGTGGAACAGCACGTAAAAGCGCCTAACACCTAAATGGAGCACAAAAGTATAAAAAAGCAGTCACTTACTCTGACGTCATTGGCACTTTATGAACCCAATGAGAATTGTTCGTGCATTTTCGGATTTATTTATTTTATGGAAGTTCGAAATTAGTCTAAATTAAATCAGATTGCATTGTTAAAACATATATAGAATTATTATAAACTTGTTTTCGAAATTAAATGACAGCTTAAGGCTTCTATAACAAAATCTCAAAATAATTGTTAATGCTTTTTATATAAATTTCAAGTTGGTCACTCTGCCTAAAAAATTAGTAAATTTGGTAAAATACGAAATAATGAAGTTTTTTTAAAAATGTTGGTATGTGTATTACTGTTCTTTGGTTCACAGAGATTCTTAGTGATTACTAGCTTAAACTGAAAACATTTTGCGCTGTAATAGATTTTTTTATACTTGTCTCATTTCCAGTGAAAAATATTTTTTTTTTGTTCAGAGCAGACTCGTTGTAAATTAACAATATCTAACATAAATATAGTCGGTGGAGAGATTACTTACAGTTTTCTTTGACTACAAAAGTTTTGTGGTTACGTGCCTTTAGCAAATTTTAGAATTATGACTAAAATTAGCTAAAACGTATTAATATTCATAACTTATTCTAATAAAATATTTGCAGAAAATACTGAGTATAAAATCATTCTTCAAAACTAATTCAACGTCGAATAAAATTTCAGAGTTAATTAAAACTTAATTTAATAATAAATAGGTATTGCATAAATAAATGAATATATTGCTCTCGCTACAACTAAGAAGAGGTTGAGAGAATGACGGAAACGTGACTAATAAACGAGGGTTTTCGAATTAGCTCGGAAGTTTTCTTCTATATAGTCTTCTACATACCGATAGACAATATTAGTTAAATAAAATATCAGTACCAGTACCAGCAACAGCCAGTAAACATTATTTATACAAGATATAATACTGACTATTTAATAAGTTGTTGACAAAGCTCCTCAAAAGCTACTAAAAAGCTTTTAAGCGGCCTTCAATTATTATTTAGAAGATTTTTAACGAAAAATTGTAAGCTCGTATCGTAAGTGAATTTTGAGGTTAGGCAGGTTACAAAAAACATACTGACTACACCGTGCGGAATTTGTTTAACCACAGGCATGTAAGAAATCTACGAAATGTAAGAATGTCAAATACGACTGCCAGCTCCGCTATACTAAGATAAGCGTGTGATCCGTGAGCTTATAGGTGTATATACATCACCAACTTATTGCGCGTTTGTTGTTGTTGGTACAAAATTTTAGAATAATTTCTCAAAACTGAGGATATTGTTAAAGAAAAAATTGGTAATCTCACCATAAAAGTCCAAACGTTTTTCCATCCACTTCGACTTTAAGGAACACTTAAGAGCTTAATTAATTTAAAATTAAGAAATTATTAAATTAAAAAAAATAATAATAATAATATAATTTATGATAGTAAAAATGATAATTTACAAATCTTGTTTTAAAAAGTATATAGTTCAAGATGAGTTACTTCATGACTAGTTCGAAATGAACAAGTTGTAAATCCATGAATGATGCCACTAGTTCAAACAAACCAAATTAAATCTGAAGAAAAAAAAAAAAAATTCATTTAGTGCACATAAATATGTATAAGTAAGTATGCATATAAGTATATGCTATACATACATTTATACAAATATTAATCATATTGAAGTAATAGTTTGTTCAACAACCAGGAAGTGTTAGTGTATATAAATTTGCCATTGCTCCAGTTAAATTATATTTCTGCGATTCAATCACATTCATCTGTATACATATATATGTACATATGTACTCAGATACCAATATGTTTGAACAGGCATGCGTTTGTGCATGAAACACGCAATAAAAATGTTAAAGTCATTCAATTGTAAAATTAAGTAACTTTTCGCCAAGCAAACGCCCAATTGGCAACAACAACGGCTGAGAAGTAAAGCTTAAGTGTTTGTGTGTATGGTTATGCATGTAAAAATATATGAGTGTAATAAAGTATTTATAATGTTTCGAAAAGACGTGCACGCTACATGCATCAATTTTATTGAAGTGCTGACTAGTAGCACCAAAATAATGCAAATATATTGATTTCCACACATCTAGGATCAGTTTATACGAATCTACTAGAAGTCTCCGAAATTCTGTGTTGCTAATTTTTTATGATTCTGCCTACAAATTTTCTCGACATTTCAAAAGAAATACGTATAGKTTAACATATATTCATTGATGACAATATATATGCATGTACCTCAAGCTTTTGTTTTTGTATTGTGGCTATTGCCACCAAACAACAGTTCCAGCTAATCACTCAACCCGCTGTGGAAATCACCTCACTTTCATTTTGGCARTAAAACACACAATTAACTTTTCTTGACATTTTGCCAATTTCCATTAAGTCAGTTCACTAATTACAGTTATTTCTAAACATATGTATTTGTTGTAAAAGTGTGGTTGTTCGATGGAATTTTAAATGATTGGGAGGTTTCAAAACTCGTTTCTAAATAAAGGTTAAGTATAGAAACCATATTAAACAAATACATATATACCAAATTCAAATTTGACCCGGTTTGCCGACAAATAAAAATCGAAAACCAACTTTATTATCACTTTTGAAATAAGCTTCGAGCCAATTATCTCCACTGGCTTCAGTGCCTTTAGCGAGATTTATTTTTGTTTTTTAGACAGATTAGACGTCATATTCATAAACCCAGGTCCCGATAGATTGGATGAATGTAGGGCCCTGAGTTAGGGTGATGATCTTTTGTCATCTCTTTTTTCCAAAAGTTTAAAGTCTTTTGTTGAGATTATCTGATGCCAACACGACAATTCCTAGCAATGTTTCTTTCAATTCTTCGATGTCATCGCCATTAACAGAGGAGAAGGGACGACTCACTCAGGTAAGCTGTCACGACTTCCCGAGTGAACTGAACTTTTTTTTATTTTAGACATGTGGCAACCCACCTTTTAGTTTAATAAATAGTAATATTTGAAGATTTATTGAGTAAAAGGAAATTGAGTCTTCCACGAAAGAACTAGCGATTAAATGCACTGGAACAAACGCTGCAGTTTCATATATGCAGTTATTACTTATCATTAGCATATGATAACACTTTTGAATCTAAAAATAAGTATACATATGTATATAGAGGTAAATTTATCGCTGTGCATGACAATTCTCTCGAAATTGTGTGACTGTTTTGAAGCATCTGTTTCGACTGAGAGCTCCGCGTTGTTTGTTCTGCGTCAACGTGTAGGCCGATGGGGATCACATGCATTTACATATGTACATTAAGGTGGGACAATTAAAATTTACCAACTTAACATTTGAATGATTGAAAGTACAAACTCAAGTTTATGCGCAAATGCAAAAAATTCTTTAATATGAAAGCTAATTTCCACCAAACCAATTTCCAAGTTTATACTAAACATTTTTTTGTTGCTCGCTGATCCATTAAGTAAGATGTATTCATATATTTTTTTGAAAAAAAAAAGGTGTAAAAATATTGAACCGCCCTAAGCGTAAGCGTAATTAGTTATTGCCGTATGGGCGCGCTCCCCAATGCTTAGCTGCTGAAGTGCAAATTTCTATGATATTTTAGAACATCCCTTTGAAACCGCGCCTCAGCGGTCATTATCAGTCAAATCCGCTCCGGAACAACAACTGCCATGATCAGCGTGCGATCCGTGCGATCCTTATAGGCACATGTAGGTGCGTGTATGTATATCAACAAATGGTGGCTGGTAGCAATTAGTTGCAGTTTTTCTTTATTATGTGCCATTTCTCACGTTCTTTATTGTTGTTGTTGTTGTTTTTTCACATTTGCATTAGCCGAACTTAGCGGAAGCCCACCGCTTTACGCTACGGTGTCAACTAATCATTTATGTACGTGTGTGTGTTTGCTCCAGAAGTTTTCTCTGCGCTTTAACGTGTTTTTCGCTTTTTATTTTTATCCAGTTTTAATGGGTTCTATTGCTTTGTTAAAGTTTTTATTTAATGCGGCTTTTTGTGTGGTTTAAACGCGCTTCTAAGCCAAAGTTTACTTTGTTCTTGTCTCATTTTCTTTGTTGCACGTTGATATTTTACTAGTAATCCAACAGTTATGGGAATATTTATATACATAAAATAAATGTTTTACCCAATTTTCAGTTTATAAGATCTAGAACATTTCAATTATGACTTTTATTTTACTTATCACTTTCTTTTAAAAATTTTGTAAAATTATTCTTCTTAGATATCGCTATCTCGAGTGTCACCTTAAAAACTGTTTTCTACTAAAGCAGCTATGAATGTATTTATGTTTATACAGACATAAATATTTTAACTACTCACAAGCCTAAGGTTTTTCGGTGGTTTTCTCCTCTACTATTTAAATACTTCCAGCGGCAGTGGGTTATTTGTGCGCCCGTTATCTCGTCTTGTATGTGCAAATATACACAGGTAATTATGTATATGCAGATGTATGTATATATACATATGCGTTGAAGTGTTTATAAGCACCGCTCAATGGCTGCAATTACTTCATGCTTAACTTTTGGTTTTGCGTTTATTGTTTTCTACACTTACTTTTCGTTTTATGACCGTGATATTTTATTTCCACTAATTTTTTTACCGTTCACTTTTATCTTATCTCTTCTTATCACAGCCTCGCACACTGATAACGAACTTGTCGGTTTTGCTTCGGCGCACACTTGTTCATTTAAAGAAGGTTTCTTAGTCACTGCAAAGTAGTAGTTCACCAGAAACTATTAATTTGTGAATTTTGTGATTGTGTTTCTTAAATTTCACGAAAATTAGTTTTATGTTGTTTTATTGACGAATTATATTATTTTGTTAGCCTCCACTAATTTCTACAGGTACTCTTTCGCTCACCTACATTTGGTTACTAAACGCCGACGAAAACGCCACTGCCGCACTTCAACACTCGCGAGCCAACTGATCGTCACTGTCGTTTCATTATAGTTGGCAATAAAGTTGGTCAGTGATTCACAAACTTTTCTCGTCTTGGTGTTCAAGGGAAGAGATGTAGTGAGAGAGAGAGAGGGAGAGAGAGAGGGAAGAGCGAGCAAAATATAAAAATAGTTCAATCATTCAAACTCGCCTGCTTTTATATCTTTGGTTCAATATTTTCAAGTGCGAAAAGAAGATAGGGTTTGGTTCCATATCATAACTGAAATTTCAAGAACTTGATCTGAATTATTCCGGATTACTTCTCTGCTCAAGCGAACTAGGTTTTAAATTTTGGATATATATATATGTATTAATCGCGACTTTGAAATTAATGTGTGGACCGCGGGTGAAATAAATTTTGCAAGCTCTTCTTTGATTAGCGTTGATAATCCCCCCAAAAATGTAGTATTTATGAGATCTATTTTTGGATGAATAATTTTTGATATTGCCTTAGAGACGAGAGCTTCTGAGACCTCACCATATGTGTTTCATAGTTGAGCCGACCTATCCATTAAGATAAGCTGACGCGCTTGACAAGGTATGATATTTAATACTTCAGAGAGTCAGATTTAATGCTGTATAATTCGTACAAAATATTGTATGTTCCTTTTGCATAAATTATTTTATTTTAGAACGGCGATTAGAGAATACGTTGTTTCAAAAGATCGTGACGCATTTAGGTTTGGGCACTTATATATATACATATGTATATGATAGAAGCTTTATATATGAGTCAAATTGTTTAAATTCGAGTCTAAACACTTTTGAGGAAACACGGATACGCCTTCTATTTTAGACTTCTGCACCTGCATTGATAATTTAGAGTTTCAAAAGCACCTATACTTCAGAATAGCTCCTTAATTTGTTGGCTAAGCTTCGGCTAATAACGCTGTTACCTAGATTTTCGGTTATAGGTGATTGATAAAGGCTTTGAAATTAATCCCTAACATATTTCGGCATGCTCAGGATTAGTTATGAATATTTCGCAGATTTATGTAAACAGATTGAAGTGCTAACTTTGTTAACTTTAAAAATAACTATATCCATTGCTACCAAGCTTCAAAATGTAAACATATACATACATACTATGGACAAAAATATTCAGTTCAACTCCTCAAAGTCATGTCGCTATGTTTGGTTATTTGTAATATATCCTCCTCCAACTACGAAATTTCACTTCGAAAATCATTGTTAGATAATTTAACAGAATCGTTCTTTTCGCGTATCCTTTTTCGAAGGATCTGTTAGAAGTTTGGGTAAAAAATGTGTGGCGCGGCATTTTTACCCAAATTTCCATCATTTCCCAAGGCAGCAACTAGCGCGCCATCTTTCGGTGAGTTTTATGAAAAACCTTGCTTTTGTCGTACTATCAACTGATAGATGTCGCGAGGTTCGAAAACAAGAAACAGCTGTTTGTTTCCGCCATTTCAAAGAAAACTTCCTTAAGTTCTCGAAATTTGAGCGTCGCGAATGTTATCGGTGACTTTTTAGTGAAATTTGTGCCTTTTAATTGTTCAATGTATGTAGTTTTAGGTGGTGAAGTGTCATTGGTGTAATTAATAATAATAAAGTGAAGTGAAGTAGAAAAAAGTGCAAGTTTGCTAGAAAAGCATTTGCTGCTCAGCAAGTGTCTGCCGCAATTCCTCTATTGGTGTAAGTCTTCTAACTTATGTAAATAAAAATGCATATTTGGTGCAGTTTTTGTAGTTTTATTTTAGTGGTATTTTATTATTTTTAGCGAAATGCAGAATTGACCGCATTGTAAGTGTTATTTTAACAGCTCTGCCCTCTGCATACAATGTCAAGCATAGACGGTAATTTCACAGCATTTCCTTTTCGTATAAAGCCTTGCCAAAGTTTTTATTCAAAAACAGGTTCTTGGCATTTGGTTAGTTAATTTTTGGATAAAGTTTCCAGCTTTCTTCTATTAGACGAAAAAGGTTATATTGTTTTAAAGAAAAACACAGTTTTGTGGCTAAATTAAATTTTATTAAATTGTCTGGATAAAGCATAATTTAGTTAATTCAGGGACACTCACCGATCTTAGTGATTTTTATACTTTTCATTACAAAGAGGCCTACAGCCCTCTGTTTCCCGGAATTTCTGCCCTGCACCAATTAATTATATATCTGAGGTAATGTGAATATATCTGCTAATCAATAGAAGGTTCATGCATTTGTATTTTGCGTCTGTATTTGAAGATGTATCTTCTCGAAATTTGACATACATGTGTTATTTTACAAGATATCTCTACAAAGTCCAAATATTATATATTGCTCAGATCGGACGACTATAGCATATAACTTTTGTGCAAACAGACCAATCAAAATCATGATGAAAATCTTTTATGCCATAAAGTGTGCCTAAGAAGGATATTATGGTTAAGGTGCAGCCCTTAGAACGATGTTGCTTTCTATCGTATGCTTGTTAACTAGGCAGGACCTTTTGTACCTTTGTTACGACTAACGGCAAGAAAAATAATATGTTGAGATCATCATTGAAAAATATTGAGAGCCACTGCTAACTCTTGAAAGATATCACGCCTATTTCTGGCACAACAGCACAACTTCCGACACCTCTGTACATTATTATCTTCTTAGCAATGTATCTTTCTCACGTTACCAAAGCATGGTTACAACAATTTGAGAGCCACTGTAAAAATTTCAATTAAAGCATTTTTTTAATTTTTAATTTTTATCACAATGTAAGTAGTCCAGTGCTGCCATTACTATAAGAAGATAAGTAATATGAGAACGACTAGTGAAATACACCACCTTTGACCAAATGACAGAGAACCTCAAGCACAATTACCTCCACATTCATTATGCAGTCCTTAAAATAGCTAAATAATTAACCATAAACTTGTTCTCGAATAAATTAAATACTGTCTATCCATCCATGCGGCACATACATAAATCTACAATTAGAAGGTTAAAATCAATTTGCCACAAGAATGCCCAAAAGTACCTCATTGCTGGCAACTACTGAACGCTGCCGAATGCTCATAAGCACGTACACACATTGACTTCACCTCGGAGCACCGTCCATCCATTCTCGAACCCAAACTGCTTTGCTGTTGTGGCACTGCAATACGTTCATCAAATCGGTGTGCTTGCGTGCGTGTGTATATGTGTGCGTATAAATGTTCCGCCAAGCATTGAATTCAATTGCAGCAAAAGTACACTTAAGAAAATTTATGCACGAGTGCCTCGGCAGCGACAAACTGCAGCAACACCGAGCAGACATGCCAATATTCTTGTTAAGTTGCTTGTAATTAGCCAAAAGAAAGAAATAAAGCCCTAAACTACCGGGGAGGGGTGTGCACTGGTGCAGTGTTGGTTAGTTGCTTGCTCGCGCGGTGAGCCCGGTGAACCCGGTGCTGCTTCAATTTCACCTAAATTTAAGTTCATGTATGAAAATGTTATTGTATTATTCCCGTATGCAGCTGTGTGTGTGTGTGTGTGTGAGCACATACAAGCAATTGCTGAACCCCCTTACACATTTGTGAATTGAATTGCCATCAAGGGATTCATAATTTCTGTAAAACCCAAAGCAGAAGAAGAAGAAGTTGAAAGAGAAGCAACAGGCAAAGTCATTAGAGCGCAGTTACCACAGACGGTGGATGTGTATATATGGATCTACATAGATTTATATGGTTTTCAGACATTTCGTTGACTGTATGCACGCTCAGAATATGCTGTTCTCCTCCTACGAATTGTGGGCTGCGGGAATTCAGGAAGAGAAACAGTTTGCAGCAGAATCGAGTTTAAGTTGCCGTTACTGGCCAGTGCTTTGGTGTTATTAAACATATACTTACATACACACATACACATATGCTTAACATAATTATTTCAACATCAACTTGTGGCTGATTAATTGATGATGTGTTTATCTGAAGGGACGAATCTTTTATAAAGCTGATTAATTTCCACTGCAAGAAAATTATAATTAATCACGAATTTGAAGATCGTCAATATGGAGTCAGGCGATTAAACGTTAACGAATTTGCGACAAGCGCAGCTGCTTTGGTCGAATGCTTGTTTGTATATTCACGAAACATAAGTGTATTTACAGTATATATAGCAATTAAATGGCATAAATATGTGAAATATATTTGTTTATTAGGGTGAGGCAAAAAGGATTATGTATAGTTAACCGGATGTTTGAAGATCCTGATATGAGTTATATGGCACAGAGGTGCACCGTTAGGAGAAAAACACGCTTACTTTGTTCAATAAAGATAGCTAACTGACTGGCCGATTTGTGGCGTACATGCATACTACTCTCAGAAAAGGATGCTCTCCACATTTGTGTAATATATCTCACAGATTGACCGATATTGTCGATAAAAGGTCGATACGAATTGGGGTCCACATATTGGATAGATATATGTGGGTTTGAATAGTTTTGGTCCGATTTCAACAATTTTTGGTCATAAGGTGGCACACCTCACACCTGGCATATGTGACATATGAATTAATGTAGATAATATTACTTACAAAGTTTCGGTTAAAATTGGTTGAGTAGGCCCGGATATAAGAATTTGTATCTAATGTGGGCGGTGCAAGCGTTGCAAGACTTAGATTATTTTATGATGAGATTTTTGGAGTCGAAATACGCTTGGAAGTTACCTACCGAGAAGCCATTTTATTAGAATTATAAATTTTAGGGTAGTGCACATTTTTCGATGGTACAAAAAAAAAAAAAAAATTGATTTTGTTTGATCTGTTTTCCTGAGTGCTACTTGTTTTAGTGGTCCGAGATCGGCTGGTTTGAAAAATGAGCTCCTTATTGAGAAAAGAACGTCTGCAAAAAATTTCAGGCCGATATCTCAAAAAATTTAAGTCTATTTAGTTCGCATACACATGTACGTACAGAGAGATATACGGATAGGCGGACATGGCTAAACCGGCTCAGTCCATAATACTGATCGTTTGTATATAGAATTTATATGATCTCCCACATAAACA